AATTTTAAAAAACACGTCACGGTTGGTGAGACTACACCGGCAACCGACTTTAAGCAGCTGCGTAATTTTGTTTGGATCAAATCTTTGCTTTTCTCTTTAGTGCGATTTGCCTAAAGACTCCCTTTTTTATTTTTATTTTTTATATTTTTATTCTTTTTTTCAAATTTGATTCGAGAGTAATTTTAATCAAATGAAAAAATAATTTATTATAGTTAAATAATCTAATCACTTAATTATCATATGAAAAATAAAATTGAAAGGAAACAATATAATCCATTAACATTATGTTTGGAAGAGTAGAAAATATGAGAGGAAATACTATGGGAGAGAGAAAAATAACTTTTACTTCTTTTGAAAACACAAGTGAAAATAACAAAAGAAGGAAAATTTTTTCATTGAACCCACTAGTTCATAATCTTTCCAAAACGGAGAGAAAATAGGTGGCTATTAAAAGAAAACTGAATTATTTATTTTAAATTACAAAATTGCCATCCCACTCCCACCTTCACTAATTCACCTCTCTAATATGCGTGACTCTGCCATTCTCATATGCGATACTTTCTCTTTTTGGCAAATCAATCTCCTTCTTTGAGCGACCCACTTCCTCCTGCGCTGCAAAAATTTGATAATTAATAAAAAAAGAAAAAAGAAAATGACATCTTTGCATATTTAGACAAAATAATATATCCTTTAAATTTTTGTAGTTAATATATTATTTATAATATTTTTTTCTCTCCTCTTTAAATATTCTATAAACTCGAACTCAACATGCATTTTTTTTTTTTTACAAAATTTGAAAACATCAAGATTGACTATACTAGCTTGATTTTTTATTTTTGTCAATTTGATTTCTATATATAATTTAATGTCTTGGATGCTACTATTGGTGGTGATTGTCTCATGAAATTAATAGACACATGAAGACAATTAAGAGGCACAGCATCATAGGTCATAGGTCATAGCTCATAGGTCATAAGTCAACATGAATTTGTTGGAAACGTGCATTTATAACCCCTTCTCCGTTTACTCATTCTTACAATTATGATATGTCCGAATTAGATAAAAGACACATAAAACTATTGTTTTCAAACTTAGATACCTGGCCCACGCGATATGGTGATTTAATAGTGCAATCTCTTAAAATCAGAGAGATCACTGTTTAATTATATATACCAACCGATTATGGTGATTTAATAGTGGCAATCTCTTAAAATATCAGTAGAGATCTACTGGGTTTAATTATTATATATATATGATATATGATATTAGCTATATAGTATATTATAAAATATATAGTATAAGTATTGTTGTATAAAAGACAAGATTAACAATTGATCTTAAAAATTAATTTAAAAAAAGGGTTTTCTCTTAATGTTTTAGAAACAAATGATTGTAACCAAACAAAAAAAAAAATAGAAAGCGTTAATATATTGAGTAAGTATTCCGCAATTCTTTAAGTGATCTTGAAATTATAAAATCGAAATTATAGTTACTTGGAATATAATTGTCTTTTTACTTCGGCCATAGCAAAAAATATAATTTTAAACAACTGGACTAAATTATATTTTTTTGAAATGTAAATGTTTAAATTGAATAGAAATAAAAATAACTTAGATTGTTTTTATTTATCTGTTTAGATTTTTTAATTGTTAATATATAAAGAAACTATTCGTTAACAGTGATTATACTTTAGGAAAGTAATAATCTCTCATCTTCCTAATAAGGTTAGACATAAAAGAAACTATTATAATTAAATTACATAAAAATATATATATATATATTGTTGTATAAAAACAAGATTTAACAATATCTTTAAAAATTAATTTAAGGGTTTTCTCTTAATTTTAGAACAAATGATCTAATAGTATTGAGTAAGTATTCGCAATTCTTAGTGATCTGAAATTAAAATGAAATATAGTTACTGGAATATAATTTTCTTTTTATGCGGCATAGCAAAAAAATAATTTTAACATGGACTAAATTATATGTTTTGAATGTAAATTTTAATTGAATAATAAAATTAACTTAATTGTTTTTTATTTTTACTTTTAATTTTTAATTTTAATAAAAGAACTATTCTTAACATGATATTACTTTAGGATAAAGTAAAATCTCTCCTCTTCTAAAGGTTAGACATTAAAGAAAACTATTATAATTAAAATAACATGATATAGTTTATGAATTTAATAAGAAATTTTAATAAAAAACTATAAGGTGAACTTGAGAAAATGAATATACTTAAAAAAAAAAAACTCAATTTTCTGTGTATGGTCTAATTATCATGAACTAATTGTTTACGACGAACACAAAATTTAGACACACTAAATTCAATGGAAGAACATATTATATTTTCAAATTCCAAAAAATAAAAATAATCATTTATTTAATAAATTCTCCACAAATTACACATCAAAAAATGAAAAGATAAGAAACTTCATACAAAATGGAAATATTCTAAAAAAAAAAAAATAATTGGAGAACGAATGACAGAAATTTCTGCCAAACACTGTAATTTATTTAAGAAAAAGACACCATTAATAAGGGAATGTCTACTATACACGAAAACTATAGCAGCAGTCTTGCGCACTTGCATAGTTCAAAATTATCTGTAGCGGTACCATCATAAAGAGTGAAGACGTGTGTTACGTGGCCATAAAGAGAAACACCTGTTATTGATGTTTATTTTTAACTAATAGGTGCACTGATGGACGGCCCGATTTATTGGTTTAGATATTATTTTGCTGTTTTAATGATTGTCAACTGTTTTATTAAAGATGAGAAATTTTTTTTATTAAAGATGACGAGGATAACTACAGTCAAGATATTAGATATAATTTTAAGAAAAAAAAAATACTGATATTACCTTAAAAATTATTGCCGAAGGCCTTAATTATAATTAAAATCCCGCTCTTTAAGAACAAGAAATTCTTCTCATCTATGGTTTTTTGGGTTACAAATGAGTTGATTGTTGGAAAAATGGGCTATTAGCCCATCTCTCAGGGCAGTGGAGAAATTAAAATGGGCTAGAGCCCATTAGCCCATTTTCGTTGGGTAATTCCTGCTGTTTGAATTAGATTCTAAGTCCATTTTTTATTCCTTACATATATAACTTCAACAGATAGGAAATGAATGACAACGGTGGATACACATGTCTTATATGATAATAAGCATATACATAAGATATGATGAATCTATAGACCAAGAGAGTAAGGAAAACCAGTAGAAGGTAGCCAACTGCTTCCTGCAATGAAATTTTCTGCAGTGTATGGTCGTGCTTCACTTGCACTAGTCATTACTTTGAAACCTTTCCAATTCACCCTATTCGCAGTGTTAGCACCTTCTCCTGTATTTTGATACTCTCTGTAAGTCAATGTGTCGAGAGCGAAATTTCCATCCCACTCATACCAACCGGCTGGGTGAATAATATCGCTTATATAAGTCTGCATTACGATAGTTCTTGAGTATAGCTTCCATGGCCTACCTAAATAAGTGGGAAAACTGCTTTTCACTTCTTCTAAATCTTTTGTTGCGCCTATTCTGCAATTTTGAATAACTATGCCTGTATTCTCATTAGGGTCTGTCCGGCCTTGTGCAGTGAGCATATTCTTTTGTTTTGGATTGGGGCGACGGGCATGTATGTTAGAATCTTGGATAACGACTGCTCCATTACCAAATATGAAATCTATAGTGCCGATAATGACGCATTTGACATAGAATTGCCGCAATGTATGTACGTAAAGAGTGTCTTGAAATGCTATGAAACTGCAACGATAAAATGCTGATTTGTCCGATCCCACTCGCAATGCGACAGCTTGATGCTTTGATGGTCCAGCACTGTTTTGAAAGGTTAGGTCTCTGGCTAGAAAACCATCCCCAACAGCAGCTGCAATAGATGTAGACAATGAAATTATCCTTATGTACAAAATATAAACACTTAAAATAATTATCATTTTTAATTTTTTTATTATAGACAAATCAATAAAACTTGTGATTAAATTAAACTGCTATTACATTTGTGTGACTGTTGTTGAATTATATTGAATTCTCAATTTAAGAATGAAATCCCTCTCTTTTATAAAACACAGATGAAAGACTAAAGTACATGTTGCAGGAGAAGTGTCTGAAATTTAACACAATACTCTATAGTATATCTCAATGCTTAAAAAAAAATTATCACTTATGTGTATGGCAGAGTAGTTTTTGGTAAAACTGATAGAGTCAAACTGAACTGATCAATTTGATTCTATTTTTAAAAATTCAGTTCGTTTTATGTGGTAATTTAAATTGTAAAAAAAAATTAGATTAGCTTGATTTTATAAAAGTCTTGAAACCAAACTAATTAAACTTAAAAAATCAAATTAAATTTATTTAATTTGTCTCAATTCTATTTATTTCAATTTTTTCTATAAAATAATTCAACGGAATTTACTGAATGCTCACACATTGTTAATTGAAGTAATGAAAATATATAGTAAATTTTATGTATCTTTACATAGAAAAATACTCACCTACGGTTGCTGAGTTGAATGTTGTGCTGCCATCAACCACATTCTTATTATAAGTAATGATGGTTTTGCTACTTCCATCACCAAAAAACATAATATTAGTCTTTGAATTTGGCACTTCCAGAGTTTCTCTATAAACTCCTGCTTTAATTTTTATAATATATCTTGATGTACTTCGAGACGGTGCAGCATTCACTGCCTCCGTCACTGTCTTGTAGTTTCCACTCCCATCAGCTGCCACAATCACATGAGGAGTTAAACTTCTGGCTTGTAGTAGCCTACGGTCCTTTGTTGACATCCACTTAGGCCATTCAATTCCATTATCTTCTTCAAGCTTCCTATCTGATGACGATGAGTGTTGCTCCTCCTTACTATTAACCATATCTGTGTCGGTCATGTGTTTGATCAAAGCTAAGGCATTGCTACATAGCCGATACACATACCTTTCATCAGCCAAAAATAATTGACGGACCTATGAATATAACAAGAAAATGAATCAAGACTCAAGAGTAAAGAAATATATAGGAGAAATTATATATTATTGCAGAAGTTTGTATGACAAAGATTATAGGTTTAATCTCAGTTAAAGTTTTAATTAATGAAAAAATGACAATTGAAATAGAAAACCAACCTTTTTATCTACTTCGTAACTAGAGAAACCATCGATGCAAGTTTCTTGATTAGTCAATGCAGCACTTAACAATATCTTGAATTCCTCAGCATGTTCTGCTATGGATTTCTTTAAAGATGGATAAGAATGGAGTTTCCTCGCAACCTTATTAATTTGAACTATGGTTTGATTTAACAATTCAAAACAATCACCAAAAGCAATCTTCTCGCGGGGAGTGAGTTTCTTTAATCCTGAAGAAATTCTGTTGATCTTTAAATAAGCTTTTGTAACCGATTCTTTAGTTACATTAAGTGACAGGCCTATTACATCTCTTGTGTTCCTTACCTTGCTGATTGCAGCATTAGGTAAAGTTGAAATTGTAGAGAAGCAAAGGTCAGGATACAATGTGGCGCTGCAAGAAGATTTAATGATAGCATGAGCTGCCTGATGATATTCATTTTTTGCTGTAGAATTCTTTCTTGAGGCTACACAAGCAATCATGCTTACAATGGCAGTGATTAGAAGGATAGAAGCAAAAAGAATCAGTAAGAGCTTTTTCTTGTTCATGTTCTTGAATTTAGCAGTAACGCCTGAAGGAAAGATTTCCTTCATCTTCTTTGGTGGTGTAAAATTTTGAAAGAAAAGGAAAAGAACGAAGCAAGTGTAATGTCGATAACCTGTGGATGGTATTGGACCCTTTTTATAGGTTAATAATATTTTATTATATTTTGCATGTATTTTGGCATTTTCAGGAAGAAAAATGAGAGTAGTATACTAAATTTCTTTTTGCAGGATTCCATTAAATTTATAATTATTGGAGATATATTAGGGAAAAATATGGAATAATATTTTATTTTTTTATATTATTATTTTGCATGTGTTTGGCATTTTGAGGAAAATTTACACACATGATAATTTATCAACTATATATTTATTCACGTGTTGAATTGTGGTGCGTGAAGGAAGGATAAGGAATCTAAGTCAGGATCGTTTCTAATTCCTACATTTTGTTTTATTGTTATTGTTATTAATTTCTTTTGTTGGTTTTATTATTACTATTTTGGCCTATTTGGAAACACTGTATGGCTGAAAGTGCACGTAAGAAGATATTGGGAATTTAGGCTTTTAGTGGGCACCGACAGAATCCATGGCTTTCAGGGATGATCGTGAGGAACTGGGGATAAGGATAATGCTTTTTTTTTTTTTTTTTTTAAATAATAAAGGTTTATGTGGTGAATTGCCATAGTAGTTGTCCCTTTTAAAAAATTAAATTATATTAATTTGTAGCAAAGTTCAATTTTTGAAAGAGTATATTACTATTTAATTTTGGAGATTCGACCCTACTTTTGTATTTTAATTAAATAATTGAATTTGTAAATGAAATCGGAGGCTCTTTGCTCACTAAAATTAGGGTTGATTGTTGTAATTTTTGAATCAGTTAAATTATTTAGTCCTTGTATTCAGAAAGTATAATTTTTTGTGTTAAATATCTTGTAATACTTGAATTTTTAGTTATTCAAATTTAATGTAATGTAATTATTTAGTAGTATGGTTGACGATTTAAATGACATGTTTGGATGGAAAAACTAAATTGTTTAATCGTTCAAAAATTAAAATAATTCAATTGCATCAGTAGTAATTAGGGTATAATCTCGAAAACTAAATAATGGTTTACCCTGTTGGAATATCAAGCTAATGTCCACAATGTTGTTTATATTATATTTATAATTCAAGAGTCATGAACAGTTGAGCATATATTTGTTACAGACAGTTAGGCTTACCGGTGAAAGGCCTTTTTTCCCAGTTCAGTTCAAGAAAAGTTAATAGGCTTCTTAGCAAGGAATAATGTTTAGTAGTATTACATTTATTCTTAGTCGATTCTTATTCATAAATCTAGAACTTCACCAGATAATCCAAAACATAGATTACAAATGTCTGCAACAAAAATTATCTGGTATTGCTTAAGCCATGAATTTATAGACCAAGAGAGAAAGGGAAACCAGTAGCAGACAACCAATTACCTCCTGCAATAAAATTTCCTGCAGTATATGGCTGTGCCTCAGTTGCACTGGTCATTACCTTAAACCCTTTCCAGTTAACTCTGTTTGCAGTATCAGAACCTGCTCCAGTATTTTGATACTCTCTATATGTCAATGTGTCGAGAGCAAAATTTCCATCCCACTCAAACCATCCGGCCGGATTAATAACATCATTTATATCAGTTTGCATTATTACAGTCCGTGAGTATAGCTTCCATGGTCTGCCTAAATAAGTAGGAAAACTGCTTTTTACTGCTTGTAAATCCTGAGTTGCACCAATCCTACATTTTTGAATAACTATGCCTGTATTCTGATTAGGGTCTGTTCGGCCTTGTGCAGTGACCATATTCTTTTGGCCTGGATTAGGGCGTCGGGCATGTATGTCGCAGTTTTGCAAAACAGCAGCTGCATTTCCAAAAATGAAATCTACAGAGCCGATAACGATGCAGCTGACATAGAATTGGCGAAGTGAATGTACATAGAGAGTGTCCTGATAAGCAATCATGTCACAGCGGTAAAAGGCCGATTGGTCTGATCCCACTCTTAGCGCAACAGCTTGATGCTTTGATGGTCCAGCAGTGTTCTGAAACGTTATATCCCTCGCCAGGAACCCATCTCCAACAGCAGCTGCAATAGATGCAGGTTAAGTGGCCAGAATTGTTTTTCTGTAAGTTATGCTGGCTAGAACTTGAATTTGCAATCTTATGACTTGTCCTAATTTCCTTATCCGAAATGCCTAAAAGCCAACCTTTGTAGGCCTCATGTGATTAAATTATAAGTTTCGACAACTTTCTATGACCCCATGTACAGCTGGTTTTTTGTTATTTAGCTATGTACAAAAAGGACATAAATAATAAAAACTGAAAATTTATTTTCCAATTGCTACAGTGTGCAGTGTACAAATTACAATTATCAGGTAGCTGGCATCAATAAATGGATGCTGCTGGACTCTCTGCACAGTTGCATTACTTAAGAGGCACCACCTACCAGAAACCCATTTCTGTTAAAAAAAAAAAAAGAGCACCTCCTTTTCCTTCTTTTTGGAACAAATACTGTCCAACTTTTTTGGACAAATATTATATCACCGACACTTTTTGGAGTGACAATTTGACAGCTTAAGCCTAGAATTCAAATATGGATATCTTGATCCTTTTTTGGCATACACTGGTAAACAAATTCCAGGGGAATCTGTTACACTGATTTGTCTGACTAATATCTAATATGATCAAACATGCTAATCAAAATTTATATGTACTCCAAGATCTATTTTTCTTGTTCTTGGATGCAATAAATAGAATTTCAACTCGAATTTTCAGTTAGCCAAAGCCAATTTAGTATAGCATTATAGGATTTTGCATATTCTTTACTTTTATGAAATTCAATTGTCATTAATTAATGAAGAAATTAGACTTGGTTATACTTAGCATTAATAAATTTATGTGTAATTTCATTAGATTATAGACTTGTATAGAACTGGGAGAACACCTACCAACAGTTGCAGAATTGAATGTTGTGCTGCCATCAACCACATTCCTACTGCCGGTGATGATGGTATTAGTCCTCCCATCACCTAGAAACATAATATTAGTCTTCTTTTTTGGCACCTCCACATTTTCTCTATAGACCCCTGCTTTAATTTTTATAATGTATCTTGTAGTAAGACCTTCAGGAGCAGCATCCACTGCTTCCTTAACAGTCCGGAAATTTCCACTCCCATCAGCTGCTACAACCACATTAGGAGTTACACTTCCAGCCTGTAGTAGCCTACGATCCCCTGCTGACATCCATTTTGGCCATTCCAGTTCATTCTCTTCTTCAAGCTTCCTTTCCGATGATGATGAATGTTGCTCATTATTATTTGACATATCTGTGTCAGTCAAGTTCTTGATCATAGCCAAGGAATTGCTACACAGGCGATACACGTGTCTTTCATCATCCAAAAATAATTGTCGAATCTATAAATATTAGAAAAAAAGAAACTCAATCAAGCTTCTAAAAATGGGAAAGAAAATTATACAGTACTCAATTGTTCACAGGACTGTGAGTTTGCGAGAAAAAATAATTGAAATACAAAATGGACCTCTTTATCTGCTGTATCATAGGAGAAACCATCAAGGCAAGTTTCTTGGTTAGTCATTGCAGCACTGAGTAATATTTTGAGAACATCGGCGTGTTGTGATATGGTCTCTTTTGATGAGTATTCTTTTAGTTCATCCTCAACCTTGTTGATCTCATCTAAAGTTTCATTTAGCACCAGTAGACAATCATGGAAAGCAATCCTTTCGCGCTGTGTGTAGTTTGTCCCGCTATAAGCAAGTTTCTCGATCTTTGAATAAGTTTGTTTTACTGAATCTTTGGTTACATTCAACGACAAGTCGATTACATCTCTGGTGCTCTTTATCTTGGTTACAGCATCATCAGGTAGAGTTGAGATTGTTGAGAAGCAGAGTTCAGGGTACAATGTAGTACTGCAGGAAGATTTCAGAACGACATGAGCTGCTTGATGGTGAGCATTAGCTGAAATAGTAGTACTCTTTCTTGAGGCTACACCAGCAACTATACTTACAATGGCTGTGATTAGAAGAATAGAGGCGAAAAGACCCAGTAAGAGCTTTTTCCTGGTCTTGCTCTTGAATTTGGCAGTAATAATGCCTGGATGAAAGTTTTCCTTCATCTTTCTTTGTTTTTAAGTGATGGGTTTTTTTAGATAGGAAAGGGAAGGAAAGAAGCAAGTTTTTATAAAAGCAAATGCAGAGAATTGCCATATACAACACACATAGTCCTTGCCTTGACTGTCAGACATGCATGATTGAGGGAGACAGGGGCTGCTTGATATTTTTGGGAGGTCAAATAAATAAAATCACAATCCAGATCTCTATCCTATCCTCTGATATTTTGTTCTGAGTTAATTAAAAATATTTTAAAGATTTTGACAATTTTATTGATTAAAATAATGAAAATTCAAACAAGATACATCTATCTCTTCATTTATTAGTAATTCAATTTCTTACTCTTATTTTTAAACAAATTCCAAAGAATTATGTATATTTATTAATTTGCAAAAGGAAATAATTTATTTTTAATGGAAATTTTTACAATCGATGCATGATTACATTTTAAATATTTTAAATAATTTAGTTTTGCAATAGGAAATAATGTTTTTTTTAATATTAATTAGTATTGAAAAGAATTTAAGTCAAACTCAAATATGCGTTGATTGACTCGTGATGTCAATTATTATGAAGCTGGGCTTATCAGTTGCTCAGACGCCTACGGTCCTATCGTTTTGCTAATTTTCAAAAACAAAAGCGCGGCCTACGCTCCACCCAATTAACTCTGGGCCCAAAGTGCAGGCCCAATAATTAATGACCAATTGAATTCACGCTCCCGTTACCATTTAATTTATAGACACGTTCGTGATTTGATTTAATTCGTGGTAAAAATTTATATTAACCAATTTTATAATCATAGTTTATAAAAAATTTAAATCAAATTAAATTATAAAAATATTTAAACAATGAAACTTATGAATAAAATCAAAGCAGGGGTAATTTTTTGAAATATTCTTTGTAAACAGCTTTTAAAGAGAAATTTCAAAATTGATAATAAAAAATAATAATTTTAAATATTTTTGTACATCATTTAAAAGTTGAGGGGTAAATTAAGTTTTATCATTTCAAAGTTTTATACCAAGTTCACTTGGTAGCCAATAGGCAATAGCCACGTAAATGGTGGTCCCCGACCACAAGATGAACGAATCTCGGAAGTAAATCGTGATGCCACATGGCTTTCTATCATACTTGGCATCCTTGCCAAGGCACTTTTACTTGTCCTAATTGGCAACTTCGCAAAAATAGTCCATAAAATGGTAAAAGGAAAGGTACGTGGGCCAATATAATTGGAAGATAATGTAATTAGTAGATGACACCTCAGCAAGCTGGCCCCATAACTTTTTATGCACATTTTCATCTACGTCACATCCTTATCAGTTATGATAAGCTTCTCGACAGACAAATAACAGATATAAAAAACGATTGATAAGCTCATCATCTTCACGTGTAGACACTCCTATTCGCTTTTATGCACTGATCACATATCCAACCTCTCTCTCTCTCTCTCCCCCTCACTCTCTCTGACAAGGAATCTTAATTTACATCGTATAGTACAGAATATACATGAAGGAATTGTTTTTTCCTTTTTGAACGATCTTATAAAAAGGTAATCGTCGTTTAATCCCGATTCTTACGATAATTAAAGCGCGTTTTCATATATTAGACGTTGATTTTTATTTTGGTTGGTGATTAGATTATAATTAATATTTTCATGTGATGAGATTTGCAGTGCAGGTTCTTATCGTTTTGTTGTTTATTTATTGTCTGATGCATGTAAGTTTAATAGAATTGTTAATTAACCTGCTGTTGATTGATTTTAAATAACAGATAAGGATGATCAGTAGAACCTCTTTTTTTTTTTTTTTAATTATAGTATAACTAATTGCGTGTCATTTCATCTGTTTTTTTAGGAATTTTTTATGTCTATTTTGTCTGGTATAATGGATAGTTATATAAAAATCACCCATCAACTATTAGCTTCAAGTGGTTTGCGTTTGGTTTTATTCAATTCAACCTCTGTTCTTAATTGCAATGATCTGGGGAATTAATTGTTCAAGTTGACAAATTTATTTTAGAACAGGGACAAAATGCTTGGAAATGGAGTCGTTGGGATTCTTTCAGAGTCGGTAAACAAGTGGGAAAGAAGGGTGCCTCTGACACCATCACACTGTGCTCGGCTTCTACACAGTGGCAAGGATAAAACTGGGGTGGTTCGCATAATTGTGCAGCCATCTACAAAGAGAATCCACCATGATGCAATGTATGCGGATGTTGGTTGTGAAATATCAGAAGACTTATCTGAGTGTGGCCTAATTGTGGGCATTAAACAACCAAAGGTGTTACAAATCCTTAATCCTCTGTTTTGTGATTTTTTTAGCTGGAAATTTTTAGAAATTTGACCTAATTTTTCTTTTTTATTTTGGTGCAGTTGGAGATGATCCTTCCTGATAGAGCATATGCCTTCTTTTCCCATACTCACAAGGCACAAAAAGAAAACATGCCTTTGCTTGATAAGGTATATAATCTCTCCTTGTTCACATCTTTTTAGGCGGTGGCAATAGCTTGATGATATATTTTTTGCGCGGTCTGACTTTTCTTTGCTATGTAGATCCTAGCTGAAAGGGTGTCATTGTATGATTATGAACTAATTGTTGGGGACAATGGCAAAAGGTTGCTTGCTTTTGGGAAATATGCTGGTAGAGCTGGACTTGTTGACTTCTTGCACGGGTTGGGACAGCGTATGCTCCACCACTTAGAATCATTTCAGTGAAACTTTTTATTTTGATTTGAATATAATCCATGTAACTAATCGCTTTACTCTTTTCTCCTTCATTATTTCCTTTTCTTTTTCCCTTTCCCGCTTATTTATAAGAAATTGGTTTCTAGATTATGTTTTTTTGCTTCTAGATGTTCAAGATTTTGGGCCTAACAGAGCATGCAGGTCTATATGTTAATTATCCAATTTCACTTAATTATGCTGAAATGAGCATTCTCTTCTTTTATATTTGGAGTATACTGGCTGAAGCAGATATTCACCAGGATTTTTTAATATATAATTTCAGGATATCTAAGTCTGGGGTTTTCAACACCATTCCTTTCTTTGGGTTCATCTTACATGTATTCTTCCTTGGCTGCTGCCAAAGCTGCTGTAATTTCTGTGGCTGAAGAGATATCAACTTCTGGGTTGCCATCGGGAATCTGCCCTCTTGTTTTCATATTCACTGGTTCTGGAAATGGTATAGTAAATTGCAACTTCACATTGCATAATTTCAAGCATGCATTGTGTTCCTAAATAGCTTTGCATAATGTTCCTGAATTAATTTCAACAAAATCTTGATTTTCATGCTCATGCTTCTTTAAATTGCTCTCCTCCACTGATGCTTTAATTCTATAGCTTGATTCTCTATTACAAAATTTTGACATTTTACAGAATATAGTTCTTACATCCATTAAATGTTTTTCTTTTGCAATGTCACCTATAGTTTCTCAAGGTGCACAAGAGATCTTTAAACTTCTTCCTCATACTTTTGTTGATCCAAGTAGACTTCCAGAACTATTTGCACAAGTAAGTTCAAAGCAGCATTTTTCCTGTATACATATATGATATGCATTAATGGAAGGGATTTGTTGGTGATAGGATGACAGATATTACTTCTAACCAGCATAATGATTTAATGCTCAGGTCATGAAATTCAGCCCCAATACCATCTAGGCATGGCCACCGGTTCGGTTCTAACCGGAACCGAACCGTACTGTAGATGAACCGAAACTGGATCGAAACCGGCGGTTCAAGGGCCGGTTTTCTTGTGTACTACATATAGTATATATGGATTGTATACCCCCAGGAGACTGGATTATTGTACTTAGGTGGGTGGATAAGGGAATGGATTTATTGTTAGTAGCAGGAACCACGACACATTGTGAGACTTAGTCTAACCCACCCACGCAAGTACAACGATTTAAGTGGCTGGCAGACGTCGATCACGAACTCCGCCACATAACCACTAGGGCATATGGCCACCGGTTTCTTCTAACCGGAACCGGGGACCGTACTGATGATGGAAGCCGAAACTGTGATGCGAAACTCAGTCGGTTCAGGGCCGGTTAAGGTCATGTGAGTTACAAATGAACGCTGACCCTGAAAATGAACCTGAACCGGCCCGAAACCGGTGGTTAACCGACGGTTTTGGTCCGGTTCGAACCGGATTCACAAACAAAATTATTTGTTGCTTAAAATTTTTAACAAAAAAATTTGTATAGTTAATTTGATTTATGGTGAAAAGAAAAACACAATGATACATAATTTCTAAAAAGTAGTGAAAAAAAACAATATCATTAAATCATTTGACTTAATTGGTAGAAAAAAAGGGTCAAACTACCCGTTTGAACTATGTTCATTTGTAAAAAGAAAAAAATTATGTGTAAAAAAAATAGGTTCAAAGGGCTAGTTTGACGTGGCATTTAATTTTTTTATTTTTGGTAAATAAATTTTATTCATTTTTAATCATTTATTTATTTATTTACTGTAATTTACTAAATTATCCAAAAATATAAATCGTGGCTCGCAAAAAAAATAGCTGTTATTGATTCTGATCACAAGGACGGAATTTGAGAAACTAAATTAAAGTATGAGCACGATTTATAATAATATGAATTAGTTGATGATTTTTATTTCAGACAATCAATATATGTATCTAACTCTTCTCTCTTATTCTCAACTCAAAATTCTCTCAATCCTTTCCTATAGTTCATTATTTTTTCATTGTTTAATTTTCCTGAATATTGATTATTATCTATTGTTTATTTTTTATTTTTCTTACATCCAATTCCAAATCTTGTCTTTCTCTAAGTCTTTCAAATTTTTCACAGTTCCATTGTAAATTTGACGTCTCATTTGATGTTTTAATGAATTTTTTTTTAAGTAATTTTTGGAAAGAATAATAATTTCAACAAGTCCAGTTCCCATGTTAATTTTATAATTCCAATTTATATTTTTTTATATTAGAAAATAGCAAGAATTGTAAATTTAATGGTAGATAATAGTTCTAAGTTTATTTAATAGAAAGCTTTTTTTCCTTTAAAAATTATAATAATTCATTTAGTTAATAAAATTTAAACCTATTTATAAATTATATTATTCTTGGCTTGATTTAATTCAAAATCAAAATTTTATTATTGTTTTATAGAAAATGTTGCGTAATGCGGGGCTAGCGAACCTGGCCGTCATATGAATCGGAACCGACTATTTTATTGAGACTCCCGTCGTGTTTCGGGCCAGTCCGGACACTCTGCCTCGTGCTAACCGTTGCCGAAGCGGATTTAAACCGTGCTAAACCGTGCCGGAACCGGAACCAGACCGGAACAGGAGGTTTAAAGGGTCGGTTCCGGTTCAAAATTTTAAACATTTCGAACCGGTGGTTCAGTGAACCGAAACCGGCGGTTCACTGAACCGGCCATGCCTAATACCATCCTCACGTTCACACAAGCATATATTCATAGTTCCTTAGTTATCATTTTGTTCCAATTTCTTGCTTTTATGCATTAAAATAATGTATTATTCCTGTTCCTGCACATTGGATTCTGCAACATTCTTTGGGTACTCATATCACTTACATTCTTGTCCTTGCATAGGCCAAACCTTCAAGGACATCAAAGAGGGCATATCAAGTATATGGTTGTGTCGTGACTAGCCAAGACATGGTTGAAAACATAGATCCTTCGAAACCATTTGATAAAGTAAGTGATTAAAGCAGAAGAGCACTTATCTATTTACTTGTCAAACTACATGATATATTTTTGTTTGTGGCATGATCTATCATCTACAGTGTTGATAACTCATCCTTTTGCAAACTCATTTCCCCCAGGCTTGACTCTTTCTTGCTGTACCTTGAAATCTAGCCAAAATCATAATAGGATTTTTGCATTTTAAATATGCGGTTGATTAGTTTTCCTGTTATTTTGCTTCCCAAAATTTGAAGGATATGTCAGAGGAATTTTGCGTCATTTATTTTCAGTTAAAGTGAGCTTATAGATATTCAGTAACTTTTGAGAGTGCAATTATATTAAAGTAATACATACTAACGTAAGACATTTTGTTTGCATTTCAGGCTGACTATTATGCACATCCAGAACACTACGAACCCATTTTCCATGAAAAAATAGCCCCATATGCATCTGTTATTGGTACGTGATAGATTTTGCATTCTTATCATTACAAAAGAGTTTGTACTGATTTACCTATCCAAGTTGACATTGAATTCTCAGGATTTATTTTGTACTCAAAAATAAAAAGGAATAAATTTGACTTAAGAGTCCTCGCTTTTGCTTCTTATGAGTCCAATGTAGATGTCAGCTTTCACCCTTTAGTTATTTGCATTCCTGTGTTCATTTTAGTGACTAGAAGCCGGTAGTTTTCTCTACTGTCACTGCATAAATGCATTGGCACATGATCTTAGAGTAAAAAAATCACATGCGGCAGTAAACTTTATGGCCAACTGTCTAGTAACTTTTCTCTCATTGATGCAATCCCCAGAGATTTCTTTTTATTCAAATTGATTATTTAGCTTCATTCTGTTTCAGTCAATTGCATGTACTGGGATAAAAGATTTCCTCGGTTGTTGAGTACACAGCAGCTTCAAGATCTAACAAGGAAAGGGTGCCCACTTGTTGGAATTGCTGATATAACCTGTGATGTTGGAGGCTCTATTGAGTTTATTAATGAAACCACATCAATTGACTGTCCATTCTTCAGGTACAGTGTTAGTAGCTTCTCATCCTTTCTAAAATGCAGTGTATGCCAAGTGCTTTATGGTCTTATTTGTTCTCCTTTTTTCCGCTTTGTCCTTTGGTTTCACTGAACATGAGAGGGAGTTGTTCTAGTTTTTTATGACCGTTGGTTGCTCGAGCAAACACTTGTTTTTAGGTTAATGTCAAAATGAGATGCTATTTGAATACGACGGTTCTGCATGAATGATTACCTTTTAATCTTCGATTTGATACTGATATCAACCAAGATTATATTTGAATTAAAAATGGAATCTCACAGAAAGCCATTTGCATTTTTAACTGTTGATATAGTGGGTACAGTAGCATCATGGTAAATGTAATTTAAAGACAAGAAGAGAAGTAATTAATACAAGAGTAGGAAACTATGACCTCCTCACTCACCACCCCCACAAAGAGTAGGAAACTATGAACCTTCCTCACTCACCACCCCCCCACCCCCCCTCCCCCCCCCCCCACAAACAAAAAAAAAAAAAAGAAAAGCCCATATTTGCCATTTTTCTCCCCCCCCACAAAAAAAAAAAAAAAAAAAGAAAAGCCATATTTGCATTTTCTTAATAGAGAGTATTAGTTGAACTGAACAACGATGAATGAAGGTGAGAAAGAACAAAATCATCACAAGTGATAAAATGATGAGATTCAATTGAAATTTTAGATCAACTTTTCCACAAAGGAGAAGAAAATCCTGTCTGAACTCCATTTGCCTGGACTGTGTTTCTTCACAAGTTTTAACATGAATTTTTGTTGTCAAGCCTTATATCATCATCCTGAATTCTGTTTCAAAGCAAGACATTGTTACTGTTATGTCCCTTTTGTTGATTATTTGTCAATAATCATTTTCAGGTATGAGCCCCTAAATGATTCATACCATCATGACATGGACGGTAATGGTTTGATATGTTCTTCTGTTGACATTCTTCCTACAGAGTTCGCAAAAGAGGTTTGTTATTCATATCTGTGCATTCTTTTCAAAGTTACAACTGTTAATATCATCTAATTAACATTTACGGTCATTCGATCATGGAAAGGCTTCTCAACATTTTGGAGACATACTATCCCAATTTATTGGCAGTCTGGTTTCTACAACTGACATTACCAAGTTACCTTCACATCTACGGAGAGCTTGCATAGCCCATGGAGGAGCACCTACTCCCATGTTTGAATATATTCCACGCATGCGAAACTCTGAATCAGAGTAAATTTCTAATTCCAGTTTGTATTTCCTTGACTTTTATTGATGTTCCTTACATGCATGGTCAATAATTGCAAAGCCTATAGAATCTAAACAATGAACCTTGAGCTTCAGATTTTTTTTTCCTTTGCCAAGAATCATAAGAAGTGAAATATTAACTTACAGTGGAGTCATCAGACTTTTTCTGGTTATACTTAGTTCAGTTCAGGTGTTATTTTTTTACTATGCATTTTTTTCCAACTTGAGCATGTGAAACTTGAATCTGGGGAGGAAAAGAAAAGGAAGGAGCATCTAGAGTTGGATATATTAAATTTTTCACTTTCAGCAAACCAAAAATTTTCTAGCAACTTTGAGCTCCAGAATCAAACCATCTGAACTGGTTGATATTTGAGATTTTTTTACTTGTAACTAGTTATTGAACCAATTTATGTTATAAAAGCTGTCTCTTTTAGTAACAGGCATGTGCACTCTTTCTTAATATGCAGAGATATGCGAGAAAATCCTGTAAATTCAAACTCAAGCAAGAAGAAATTCAATAGCTCGGTAAGTTTCTCATTTTTGCTTACATGTCTATGCATTCCACACCAGATAATATATGTAAATTGTGCAAACTTATGGAGTTGTTTTTGTTATTGCGCCATCATTTTAATCCCTTGCTGTTCAGCAGTTTCTTATTGTTTTTGTAATTGACAGGTGTCTCTGAGTGGCCATCTATTTGATCAGTTTTTAATTAACGAGGCACTGGATATTATTGAAGCTGCTGGTGGATCCTTTCACTTAGTCAAGTGTCATGTGGGTCAGAGTGCTAATACTCCCTCATACTCAGAACTTGAAGTAAGTTGACCTTTAGTAAGCATGATTTTGAAAGTAGAATTTTCCATATTTAAAGTCAAAATATTATGCATCACTGCAGAAGTTTTCAGTATTCTTTTTGATTTATTGTTTTACTTCTCTTTCAATTGCATTTAATTTTATGTATGCAATTTTTAAAATGTGGTCAAGGAATGAATATCACAAAGACAGCTGCCTCCAATGCAGGACGGATTAAAGGCCTCCCCTTTAACTTTCTCTTGGAGATGTTTATATGATTGACAAAACACATATTTCCTAAATTGATAATTGAAATTGATAACTTTATGGGTATAACAACCTTCAGTGTCTTGCATTTTTGTATTTCTGCAGCACTCACCATAATTTGCCTTATCGTTTGGCCAGGTTGGTGCGGATGATAGGGAAGTTCTGGATCAAATTATTGACTCTTTAACTTCTCTTGCTAATCCAGAAAATAAAAGGATTGTAAATAAAGAAGCAAATAAAATTTCCTTGAAAGTTGGTAAAATCCAAGAGAATGACGTCAAGAAGGACTGTGATACAAAAAGGAAGACTGGAGTTCTAATTATTGGTGCAGGCCGTGTCTGTCGACCTGCTGTTGAGTTCCTAGCATCAATCGGAAGCATTTCATCTCATGAATGTTATAAAGCTTGTCTTGATACTGATTTCGAAGAGCAGAATGATGTCCAAGTCTTTGTTGCATCTCTCTACCTAAAAGACGCTGAAGAGGTATTAAGCCAAAAACTCTGAACTTCAAGCTTTACGAGCATCATGGTTTCACATTGAATTGTGAGGGTAAAAGCTTCAAGAGGTCTTGCATATGGATATAGCATTAATATTAAATATGATAAAGACATCTGCAATCATCTGTACATATTATGATTTAATAGCAGAGAAATATTTATGTTTATGTTTATCTTTAGTGTGTTTGTTTCTTTTCCATTTGAAATTTCTGATTTCACATAAATTTCATTGGGCACAGATTATTGAAGGAATTCCCAATGCAACAGCAGTTCAACTTGATGTGATGGATAATGAAAGCCTTTGCAAGTATATTTCACAGGTAGCCTTCTCCAGAGAATTTTACTAACCATTATTCTTAATGTATATCGTAAATCACCTGTGCTGATGCTTCAAAGAATAATGTAGCAATCATCTTTAGATCTCATATCTATCAATATGAATTAACTTAGACGGATACTTCCAACATGATTTCAAACACCAGCAAGTGCTGCATAGCATGCAGTTACATTGGTGGCATAGTTGTCCAACAGAATTACTGGAAGCTAGTTTGTCACTATAATGCGTCAATTAGAAATCTGCATTCTGGTCAATGTACTATTTTTCTCCTCTCTTCAGAATGACATATAGGAGATGGATTATTAACTTGTGTTGTTCAATATTTTCTTGCTTATGTGCAGGCTGAGGTTGTTGTCAGCTTACTCCCCCCTAGTTGCCACATTATCATAGCAAATGCATGCATCAAGGTATTTTTTAAGTTTTCCACATTATCACAGTCATTTTGGTTTCAATAAAAAGTTTAAACTGCCAATAAATCCAGTCTTGGCATGGAAATGACAGATTCTGATTTATAGACGTAGGAAATCATTTTCTCAGATACTTGAAATCCAATGTCATTTATCAGTTTTTAAAAGTCCAAATTTAAATATGTTCTTTGTTTTTCTAGCTAAGGACATAGCCATATCTTTTGATTCAGCTTAGCAAGCATCTTGTCACTGCTAGCTACATTGATGATTCTATGTCAGCACTAGACGAAAAGGCAAAAGCTGCTGATATTACAATTCTCGGTGAGATGGGCATGGACCCTGGCATAGGTAATTTTCCAACTGATACTGATCATTTATTGTGATTTTAATTTTCACAAAAACACACAAATAGGTGGATTGTGTGCTGGTAAGTATCTGTAGGGCTACAAAGATATTTAGTAGCAGGAAGAGGGTAATAAAAAAATTGAAAAAATGAAAATAATAAAGAAAGAAGTAAGCGGCTTTTGAGGAAATATTCTTCTCATATAGTTCTAAAGTATAAAAGGGCAAATATGTGTGTGTGTGTGTAGCTGGATAACTACTCTGTAAATATGTAATCAGGGACAAAGATTGAGCTTTTATCATATCTTCTCAGCATGGCATACCTGCTCCATGTGATAAAATCGCAACTAAAACTTCTCACCACAAAGTTGATATCTTCACATTAGGAAAGTTTTCGACCTGTAATCTTTAATATTTTTTGTTGAACTACTAATCTTTTTCTAATGCACTTTAGTTTTTTTCATGTACTTCTCTTTTAAGACTCTAAGACATTCCCCTAGAATTTGCACAGGAATGCTCTGATGTTGTCGAACTAAAAAATATCCATGTATGCTTCAGATCATATGATGGCAATGAAGATGATTAATCAAGCTCATGTTCGGAAGGGCAGATTAAAGTCTTTTACATCTTATTGTGGGGCACTTCCATCTCCTGCAGCTGCAAATAACCCACTAGCATATAAGTTCAGGTATCTCTTGCAACTTCTTCAACTAAACTATCTATATGGTCCAGCTTGCTTAGGAAGTTAACATGGATAAATTATTAGCCGAGACTACCTGATGCTTCCTACCTCTCACAAGAATTAGACCATACCCATAACTCAGGTTAGAGGAGTCAGAATGGGGATTCTTAAATTTTATTACTTAAATACTAAATGTATTTTTACTTTGTCAGTTGGAGTCCTGCTGGAGTCATAAGAGCTGGGCGCAATCCTGCCACATACAGACTTAATGGTGAAATTGTACACATTGATGGTAAGTTGCCCACAAGCAGAAAATGATAGGTCCAAGCAGCAGAATGCATCATTTCTTAGTAGATACTAATGCATGTATTATTTCTCATCCTTAATTTTATATTGGTCTTGTGTGATGCTGACGTTGTGGCTGCTACCATGTTATGAGGCAATATTGACAAGGATCTTGATAACTCGATTAAATCTCCTGAAGATTGTCGCTTTCTTATCTCTGCTACACTTTATTGAACAAATTTCAGGTGATAGCCTTTATGATTCAGCTTTCAAACTTCGGATTCCACATCTTCCTGCTTTTGCATTGGAATGCCTTCCAAATCGTGATTCTTTAGTTTACGAAAAAGTCTATGGAATAGAAGAAGCATCAACGATCTTTCGTGGAACCCTCCGCTATGAAGGCATGACATGTTTTTGGCTCCTCATTCTATTAGTAATTTTTTTTTAATATATCTATAAGTATTCTCTTGCAACTCAAAGTGGAACTGAGCTCTTTTCTCTTTAAATAATATAATACCAATATAAATGTTATTGGATGCTAGCTAACTTGAAAATATAAAAATTTTCGTTCCTTTTGGAATTATTAACTGATTATTTGTGTAGGGTTTGGCGAAATCATGGGGATACTTGCAAGAATTGGTTTTTTTCGTACCGAACCTCATCCAGTTCTTAGATGTGAACGGAGACCCACATTCAAAACATTCCTTTGTGAACTACTAAAGATTCCTGGTGAAAATCTATCAGGGGAGAAAGACATCACTGAAAATATAGTTACACTTGGTCATTGCAAGGAAAAAGGAACCGCTGAAAAGGCAGCCAAAACTATCATGTGAGCTATGTTATCTGTTTTAGAAATTTAAATGCGGGCAGTTTTCTTAGTACACAATATATTTCCACCATATCTCTAATATGCATAAGCCATTATTTATTTTATTTTGCTCAATTGATGTGCATAATGTACAGTGGTATTGAAGTATTCAAGTATTAAACTTTTTTCCCTCAGATTTCTGGGATTTGATGAGCAAACGGAAATTCCTGCCTCCTGCCGAAGTGCATTTGATGTCACCTGTTACCGGATGGAAGAAAGGTTGGTGTATTCCAGTACGGAACAGGTATATTCCTTGCTGCAAATTTTTATTTATAATAATGATGAAACTCATATCCCATGTGTACACCTGCATTCATACCAGAGTACGATTTATTAATTACTGCCACTTGTATAATTTATGGACAGGATATGGTTCTTTTGCATCACGAAATTGTGGTTGAATTCCCTGATGGCCAACGGCCAGAGCGTCATTCGGCCACTTTATTGGAATTTGGGACGTCAAAAAATGGAAAAACAGTTACCGCAATGGCTCTGACCGTTGGTATTCCAGCAGCCATCGGTGCACTGGTACTTGTTAACTGTCATATATAATTTGCTTCCACATCATTTATCTCTCTCTTTTTGTTGTGAGAAAATTTTTCAACTAAGATTATTTCAATTTTGTTGCAGCTCTTACTAGAGAACAAGATCAAGTCAAGAGGTGTTCTGAGACCTACTGAACCAGAAGTATACATGCCAGGTAATTGTAATTCACTTACAAACTTGTTTTATGGGTATTCCAGTAGCTAAAATGTAACAAATTAAATTGATTTATCAGATGTTAATATGCTTAGTTGTGGTTTCGCAGCACTGGAAATTTTACAAGCCCATGGTATAAAGTTGATTGAGAAGGTCGAGTAACCTCAGATGACCCATTAAGTAGGGGGTCTACCATTTTCATTCCTCACAGAAAAATCAGCACAAGTCTGTCGAACAATAACCATTCTTCAAACCTGAAGTGGATTATTAAAGACAGAGATTGAGAAGCTAATCCATTGGAGATTTGGCTTAGACCGACACAACACCAACATAGTTTCTGTCAAGAAGAATGGGCAAATCCACAAGCACCTCTCCTACAGAAAATATCAGTACATATGTCTCCAATATTCCTGTACAGATGCATAGTTCGCACTTGATAAGAAACAAGCTGGTTATGTGGACAGATGAATAGTAAGCCTTTTGGTTAAAGGCGTCGATGGTCACACATTATTCCAATAAAATGATGAATGAAATTCCGGCCTAGCTTCTATTATGCTTGCCAATTAGATATTTGAGTTATTACAACTCAGATCACAGACTTACATATAATATATGCATATCATCTCAGATGTTAACCGAACCATCACAGTAAGAAACAAAAAGAATTGCAAATCAGGCAACTACATTGTTGAATTTTATTATGTAGATCTAAATCCAGGCAAATAAAACCCTGACCATGCTCTGAGCTATGCGACGAACAAAGGACTTTCGCAGAATAGTAAGCATGTCACATATAGCCTGTCCAATCAAATTGGCAACGTGCTATCCTATTTCTCTTCTAATGCCTCAAGAGAGGGATCATATACAAAATTATCACTTTAACTATTATAATTCTTCTTTTTTCTGCTTCTGCTCATACACCAGAGCTTTATCTGGCTGATCTCCTGTGTTCCCAAAAGCCACTACACCAAAAGGTCAACCACATTGGTAACATGCACAAGTGTTCCAGGCATAAGAATCGGTCAATAATATATATTGTGAATCATGTTTTGAAATGATCAAAAACTAAGAAATCCACGAAATTAACTGTTGCTCCACTTGTTCCCAGTTATGAACTTTAGTGACCAGGGGATGACGAACCAAATCGGTCTTGCACCAAGGATATGAGTTCTCATAATCAAAAAGTAGAACCTTAATTCCAGCTTCAGCACATTCAATGGCATATCTTGGGTTGTCATCAATCAGAACTGTTGCACCTAAGGTCCTGACAAATAAAATATAGATATATCTAGCTCAGAAGATACTCATAAACAGAGGTGCTGGCATATTAAAGCCACAATACTACTCTTGTACAGTCAGGATTGGACTTGAATTCTCACTTCTTTCCTCCTTTTTTTTTTTAACCAAGTAGATAGTCCTAGGAATATTCAAGCATACTCAAAGTTGTCAATTGAAATACCTGCATATTTCTGACTTAGGTCTGGACTCTCCGTCCAAAGCAAAATGGTTCCCAAAGTGAATCTCATGAAAAACACCAGGATAGTGCTTCTCTATCCACTCAATTGTGTGATCTTTGATAACATTCTGCCGCGACCTATTCATAATGTTTCAAAAGAAAAATTCAATCCATCTCTAAGTTCATTCATTATGCATGACCAAAAGTAAGATGCTAGGAATACATACGTCACAACAGACAGATTACACAGTCTTGACAACTTATGAAGCACCTTCTGAGCACCTGGGATTGGATATATCCCAGACTTGAAATATGATGTCTTAAAGAATTCATGGACACGAATATTAGCTGCAGCAGAAAGGTCAAGGTTCTGAAGCAATTCAATATTATAATCTTAGAACAAAATAGTGCCTTAATTCTCTTATAATATAATAATCCAAAAAATCAGACAAACAAGGATTTCTCCAACTTGAAAATTATTGCATTAAAAATTTGCAATAGACATTTAACTGAATATATTTGCATAGTAGGATTGAAGATATTCCTCTAGAAATAACACATTTTTTAAGTTTCCAAACGGCATATGTATGTCAATAGGAGTTACTCCCACCACACATCCTTCTCTACTTCTTAATTATGCCATAATAAAAGCTATCCCACAACTTCTAAATAAACCTTTCCAAGATCAACATCCAATAAAAAAAGAGACCACAGTTGACAACTATAATGGGCTGTGGTAATAAGACCATCATAGACTCATTTTCATCATCCAAAATTCTCGAATTTCAAACAAGAACGCACTTTTGAAGGAAAAATTGATGCATCACATGCCAACTAGCATGCCAGTCAAAGTAGGATATCTTTATGGCTGTACCTTCATCATGGGAACATTTCCATATCTGTGACAACAACAGAGTAGGAATTAGAACAGAGATAAGAGAAATGAGTTTGTTTCCAAAAAAATAAATTGTTACAAGAATCAAAATCATAAACAAAAATGCAAAATACAAATTGGATAATTCTAACACTGCAAGAGGAGTTCACAATGAATACATCCATTTTACAACTAGTCTACAACATGATTTCAACGGCCTCAAACAAAATCTAGATTGAAGTATTGAACTAAATAAATAACATCACATATTCACATGTTCTCAAGTTCATGACATGCTGCTTGAAGGCATCAAAAAAGAAGTCATAGCAGTGATAGCACTACCACAATTGATATACGAACCAAAACCCCACAGTTTGTTGTAACCAATCAAAAGGCCACAGGCATGAGTCATGTTGTTCAGTTCAGTCAGTAAACACATTTGGCATTTGGCAAAATAAGTGATTCAAAGCATCTGTCATGAAAAGAGTTGTCAAACAATAGAAACTCATAATGACTCATATATGAAACTACATTTTCATTGAGTTCATAAGCTTTCTGTTAACTTTGCACCAGGAAGTGCCCGGCTTTAGCAAATTATGCTAAAAAAGATGATAAAATTTTATGCCAAGGCAAATTTCAACGTTTATAGTTCCAAAGATTAGACAAAGAATAGTTTACCCATTTCGGCCTCAGATAACTACATAACATATCATGCCACAACTGTTTATAGAAATATGTAAATAATAAAGCTCGAAATGCAATACCTTGAAGAACTCATAAACATGGTATTCTGCCACTGAATGATTAGAAGAATAACGATCAGCAATAAATCTGTTCAAGGCCGATACAAAGTTTCCAAGAACTGCTTACAACGAAGCAGAAGAAATAACAAATAAGAAAAAGAAACTACTTCTGCGTGAATATAGATTCAACAGCGAAACGAACATGCAAAACATCCTTCATCAAAAAAGGATCAGAATGAAGTATTGTAACATTACCAAACCTTTGAAAGCAACACAAAGAATTAGAAACCCAAAAAATCAGATGAACAAGCAGGCGAAATATTAAGTGTTGAGATTTGTGATATACCCTCATCAACATCAACTGCAACAACAATTTTTCCAGTGAGAGGATAATCAGGGAAGCCAAGAGGCTTTCCACCCTGACAAGTCTCATGACCATTTATATATCGAGCACTTGTCTTGCTGCTACTACCATCTTCCAATCGATTCTCGAACTCACGCACCAATTGATTTTGTGGAGCAGCTACTGCACGAGGAGGTTTATGAGAATCAGAGCAACCTATTACCGTTAAACAAACACCGCGTCCTCTGTTTATCCTAAAACCAACACTAGCACTGCCTGTATTGTCAATGGAAACAGTAGTCCTCTTAATAAAAGGGATAATTGAAGAGGAAGGCATAACCGGCTGAGGTAGATTGTGAAATCCCTTGGAGAAAGGATCATTACGGGTTATATAAGCCATGATCAGAGCTTTATAATTGTGACGGTGGTGGCGATGATTTGGGGCAGAGAAATAGTTAGTGAATAACCGGAAGGTGCTTTGCCTCTTTAACATACCTAATAACACTCACATTCCACCATCAACACCCAAAAAAACTGAAAAGTGGAATCTAAATTAACCAATCTCCAAATTACCAAGGAAAAAGAAAAGGGAAATCAATTCTCTAAATTTTTTTTAAAAAACAAAATTACAAAAATCGGAGAAGATCAAGAAAGAAAATATTTTGATTAAAAAGATGAAATGGGTTAATTAAATCACACAGCAATTAATGTAGAAATCTTGAGTATCCCTTTCTCGGTTATCCGTCGCCACTTTTTGGGTAGCAAAACAAGAATGAATCAGTGGTCATAATGTGTTAAAAAATAATTAGAATTAACAAGAATGAAAATCCTAAGATAAAGGGAATTTCTTGTATTCGATTCGAATCAAATCCATTTAAAAAAGAGGGGAGTTGTGATTATCAGTAGAAACGAATATCCAAGAAGAGAAAAAGATAGGTGGGCGGGGAATCGATTGTCTCTTTTTTTTAGTGATACTGAAAGACGCAAGCTTTCTCTCTAACCTGTCTATATAGAAGAAAACATTTGCTTGCGATTAACAACTATTTAATTGTTGGTTAAGGCGTGTAATTTGCCTTAATTTCCTCCTTTTGACATTAAGCTATAGATTCACAGTTCTAAATTTTGAAACCCTAATTTCATTCCCCTATTTCTTTCCTTTGATAAAGATGCTTTTTTTTTTTTTTCTTTACATAAAAAATTCAATGGATTCGAATAATATCTTGATTTAGAAAATAAAAATAGTCTCTTTTGTAAATAAAATTTAAGAAATTTTTGATAATTTTTACGGTGAATAGAAAAGTATATGTGTATATTCATATAATTTCCTATTTTTGTGAAAAAATTTGAATAAAATGCATGGAAGGAAGATTGTCTTAACTAGATTCAAAATTAGCTTTTTATGGGGAAGTGGGCATTGCGACTCACTAGTACCATAGCTTTTTGTGTTTTCAAAACTCAATAACCATGGAAATCACTGCAAATATTGGCTTTAGATAAAAATAATGCTCTGCGTAAAAATTATTTTCCAATCTAATATTATTTTAAAATTATTTATCAATTTAATATTTATTTGGACATAAAGAGAGAGAGAGAGTATTGCACTAAAACCACCGATTAAGTTGTTAATTTCAGTGCAATAGAAAAAATAACTTGTACTGACAAACAGTAAATAAAAAGTAATTATATGAATAAATAATAATTTTTATTTTGTATTGAGACTGCTTATCAAATTAATGGTTCAATACAAAATGAAAATTAATTTTATCAATTTGCTTTTTCATAAAACACACAATTTATTTGGTGGTTTTAGTGCAACTACAGAATATGACCACTAGTCAGCAAAAAGTATATAGAAAAATAGTATTTTGTTAAAAGTCTACCAGATTAATTAATGGTTTCAATAAAAAAAATATTTTTTCACTAAAATACACATATAATCTGGTGGTTTTGGTGCAATGCATTTGATATGTGCAACGAACTAGACGTTAGATTTCATTTCAAGATGCAGAAGTTAGAGCTATAATAATTATTCAATATCTTTTTATCTTATTTTATGATTTCTTAATCTAATTGAATAATAAATTTTGCTCTTATTCCATAATATTTTTTTAATACAGGCAAATGAGTTTCAACATATATATCATAGTTCAACATCACCAATACGTAGAAATTCATCATTCCGTCGAAGATTATTTAGTCTAATCGGCACAATGAATAAAGAAATTCATAACGAAACTCATTATATGCTTTAACTTGCCCCTCCGTCTATAGAGTTCCTCGTGTTCAAACACCAAAAAAACTACAAAGATGAAAGAGACGTAAAATGACATCTAGACGTATTCAGTTGAAGTCCCGCCAGTAGACGATATACCTCAAGTCCTTGCTTCTATGACATACAACTATTATGAATATTATCACGCTAATATGCCAGCACATCATCTTCCGCACCACAACCTGAGCGGAATGTACCATCTGTAGCATTAGAAATGACATTGAATATTCATTACACTCCGATGATGGCAACCCAGTAAATCCATACTTTTTTCTCCGAAATAAGCGAGACAACGCCATTTCAATATACAATACTTACTTTCAATACTTCTGCAGCGTGTTTTGGCACACCTGATGATCTGTATCTCATGCTAGACACTCATTCAATGATTTCTCTGAGATGATGATGGTACTTGAGCAACAGAGTCATCTGACATTTCCTAGCCCATAACAATCATTTATAAATTTGGTTCAAGCTCCTTGCATGAGTGTCAATGTAAATATTGAGCATGTATAATAATATCAAGGTATCAGAAAAAATGCAGTACGCCGAAATCCACGTCATAATAGAAGGCTTCCAAGATGTGCTATAAGATGACATGTGGATAGATATTAATATGATTAATTTTCCATGTATTAGTTATCAATACATGTTTAACATCATACGAATTCAATTCGAAGCACTTTATTACTCTCGTAATTTTTAACTGTGTAAGAAAACTTATATTGTTATTACTTAACTCGAAATAATTGTGAACTAAAACCACTAGATTACAAACGTGTTTTGGTAAAATATTTTGAGCAAATAAATGTTTTTTTTGGTTGAAATCACTAATTAATTTATGGACTCTTAACAAAACATTATTTTCCATGTACTTTTTACTGACTATCACATCTCATAGTTGTATTAAAATCACCTAACAAATTGTGTGTTTTAGTGGAAAAACAATTTGACAACTTAAAATTATATTCTGTATTGCAACTACCAATTGGATTGATGGTTTCAATACAAAATAAAATTATTGTTTATTCATATAACTACTTTTTACTGATTGCTTGTTAGTACTGGTTACTATTTCTATTGCACTAAAACCATCAACTAAATCAGTGGTTTTAGTGCAATATTCTCTATCCATATCAGGACAAATATTATATTGATAAATAGTTTTGAAATGACATTAGATTGAGAATAGTTTTCCAATTAACATTATTTTTATTAAAAGTCCTGTGCGATCATTTTCCTATCTTTTTGAGATTCCAATCCACATTTTGAGTCTTCTTCCTAGAAGATGCTAAGTTTTTTCTTTTTTTGAAAAAAAAAAAAAAAAAAAAAGAGTCTTCCTTCCTAGAAGATGCCTTAAAGTTTTTTTCTTTTTTTGAAAAAAAAAAAAAAAAAAAGATATGCTGGCTGGCTTAGGCCGTAAAGAGTTTACAATAAGAATTTATCTTATTTTTTCGGTAGTTTGGCAGATGCTTCTGTAAATCTTTGTGATGGATAAAGTTAACAAATACAACCAAGTTGAAAAGTTTTGGAAATTCTGAACGGTTCACGGGATTTAGAATTTTTATTTAAATGAGCCGTTAATAAATAATAAAATAAGGATCAATTATATTACATATAAATTTAATTCTTACATAAAAATTATTTTAAATAACAGATTTAATAATGGATACATTATTTTAGTGCTCTCTATTCTGAAATAAATTTTTTTATTCTCTCAAATTGTTATTATTTTGATTAAAAAAATCAGTAATTTAACGAATTTTGAATATTAACTATATGATCAAAAATTTGAATAATTATTTTATTTTCAAAAGAGTTTTTAAATAATTATATTACTCTAAAAGTGGATTTCAAACGCACTAATTTTATTTATGATGATACTCGCGACCCACCGTCTGCTCCAACCCGACGGGTTGACTGTGGTTGGTCCCAGCAGTTGTGGAGCGGGGTTGGGTCATTAGGTTACAGAGTGCGCCCCCAATAACAGATTCCAAATTTAAGCCAAAGGCCCCAACATTTATGTATTAGCTTCAATACACTTTTATTTTTTTCAGGAAAAATTCGGATTTCTTGCTCGGCGTTTCTTGTTGGGAAGGTCCAGAGAGATTCCAATTCTATTCATGCCCAAAGAGATCGAGCTCTCTCTGCTACAGAACACAAGTAAAACACTTAAGAACAGCAAACAAATTCAGTACATTAACCCGAATTACTTTTCTTCTGTTCCTTGAAAAACATCAATCTCGAAAGTTGTTTTCTGGAAGTTTTTAAGATTTGAATCGAATGGCACCTGCGGCGACTCAAGAAGATGATGAGAATAAATCAAGGACGGAGAAGAATCCTCGTCCTCTTGCATGAGACGATATATTGCCCTCCTCAAACCTATGTAGCATCTTATTAATTTTCTCTCTCATGTATTTTTTTGTTTTTTTCAAATTTTTTTTCTTGATTCTGTTTTATTAAAATTTGTCTGGATTATGCAGGGTTTAAGGTCCATATCCAACACAGCATTAAGAAAGAGGAGAAAGGAATCAGGAACTGGCCTAAGAAGATCAACTGACCCCTGTGGTATTGTTTAATTAAAATTTTGTTAATGTAAATCAAATTTTCGGTTGTTGGAAAAAGGAACCGAAACCTTAAGCAGTATCAGCCCTGTTTGCTTTAATGGGTTTAACCGTTTTCGTAATGTAAAAAGTGTTTCTCTTGCCTGAATTATTCAAATTTATTGCCTGAAATAAGCCTTCATAGTTAAGTATATTTATATGTTAAGCTAAGCAATTGGATCTGAGATTCCTTGTGAAATGTTATACATATACTCACTTTGGTAGATAGATGTGCGTATGTGATGAACCTGCTTCGTTTTTCTATCTTAAAGAAGGGGTACTTTAATCGGGTAACTTGTTCTAAAATGTATACAAGTGGCCTCCGTTTGCCAATGGTAATCAAAGGAATCCGGACACTGGGTTAGCTGCACCAAAGTCAGTGGGATCTTGTTTCTGATAAAACAATGATCAGGAGGAGCAAGGCATCTTCAGTAATGAATGCATTTGAATTTTTAAGTTACTTGAAATAAAATCCAATAGTAAATATTTCTGGCATTTCCTTTTGAAGCATTGGGGAACAATCTGACCAGCTGCTAACCTTTCCTCTGATAGTTGCACAGGTGTAACTAACATAAATTTCTTAGATCCAAAATCACGGATGATCGCGCAAGTATGTCATAAAAGTGTCAAGGCAAATTGCTAAGGCTGTGTGATTACTTTCTCCTACGAGTTTCTTATACGTAAAAAATTGAAGATGATGAACATCGATTTTTTTGAATTATAATTGGTTATTTGAGAATGGATGCCAAATATAAAATGCGTGTTTCAATTGCTGACATTTTATCAATGATCCTGTTTCTTGAAATTAAGATTAGGAAGTCTGTATCGTCAAACACTGAAACGGGTTAATTGGTTCTTGTTGCTTTAGCAATGTTTCTTTTTCAAACACCACTACTAACATTTTGTGTGGTCTTTCTAATCTCTCTAGTTTTTGTGGTGGACTTGTGACAAAGTCCTCTCCTACTGAATAGAAAAGGCTGCGAAGTCGGGGTAGGTTATCTTTTTAACCTCTTTACTCAAATCTTTCTGCACAATATTCACTAAATGTTTCAGCACCATGATTGGTTGAAACTTG